AATAGTAAGATTAGATATTAAGAATAGTTTGGTGAGTGTTTTCAAAGTGAGAGGGCAGTTGATTGGAATTATAAGCAAAATGTACTATTTATCATAATGTTGTTGGTGGTGGTGAGTGCCATCAAGTCAGTTCTGACCCACAGCGACTCTGTATAGGATTTCCACGGAAGGGCTGGTGAGCTAGAACCACCAACCTTGCAGTTAAAACCAACTCTGTAGTCCAGTGCATTAATCGACAATGCCACACCAGAACTCCTATATATCATAATCTAGTGGTTAAATTTTGAGAGAATAATAGTAAAGTGTAAAGAAAGTAAAATTACAGAAATTAGAATGCTACTTATCCAACCACTTATTCAAGTTGCACTAATAAACATTATTCTAACTTATTAAATAGCATTTAGAGTAGAGGAGTAGTTAGTCAAGAGACTCAAGTCTAACTGCAAGAAGAGAAGCAGTTTATTTCTCAGTAATAGGATCAGGTACAAGAAAATAATTACACAGAAAATACTCTATGATTTAGTTTAATCATTTAAATATTGTATCTGGGTAAACAAAGAAGTACTGATAAAAGTATGTACCGTACCTATTAGAAAGATTATACATAAAAGCAATGAAAATTGTTAGCATACTTAATGTAAATACCGTAGGTTCCTTTGAGAATTAAAGTACTTTATTCTAAAGAACATGAAATTTAAAGTAAAATTGTACATGATTCTTATTTGGTATGAGTTTCTAATGTCAGAGCTTTTTCCAATATGTTATGGATTGAATTGTGTACCCCTAAAACCTATTCTCTGGGCAAATTATTAAATGATGCAGAAAGCATCAAAAGAAGATGGAAAGCATACACAGAGTCATTGTACCAAAAGGAAATGACTGATGTTCAACCGTTTCAAGAGGTAGCATATGATCAAGAACCAATGATACTGAAGGAAGAAGTCCAAGGAGCATTGAAGGCATTGGCAAAGAACAAGACACCAGGAATTGATGCAATAAAAATTGAAATCTTTCAAGAAAGTGAGGAGGCACCGGAGGCACACACTCATCTCTGCCAAGAAATTTGGAAGCCAACTATCTGGCAGACTGATTGGAAGAGATCCATATTTGTGCCCATTCCGAAGAGAGGTGACCAAATGGAATGCAGAAATCATGAGACAATCTCTTTGATATCCCATGTGAGGAAAGTTTTACTAAAGGTAATACAGAAACGGCTGCAAGCATACATTGACAGAGAACTTCCAGAGATTCAGGCCAGATTCAGAAGAGGCCATGGAACGAGGGATATCATTGTTGATGTCCGATGAATCTTGGCTAAAAGCAGAGAATATGAGAAAGATGCTTACCTGTGCTTTATTGACTATGCAAAGGCTTTCGATTATGTTGATCATGACAAGTTATGGACAATATTGCAAAGTATGAGTATTCCAGAACACTTAATTCTGCTCATGAGGAATCTGTACATGGAATAGACCAAGAGGCAGTTGTTCGCACAAAACAAAGGAACACTGAATGTTTTAAAATTAAGAAATGTGTGCGACAAGGTTGTATTCTTTCACCATACTTATTCAACCTGTATGCTGAGCAAATAATACGAGAAGCTGGGCTCTATGAAGAAAAATA